TACTTACTTACTTACTTACTTACTTACTTACTTACTTACTTACTTACTTACTTACTTTACTTACTTACTTACTTATACTTACTTACTTACTTACTTTTTCACTAAAATCTGAATTTTTGATTAAATATTAAAATTTTTACTACTAAATTTGATTTTTTTTTCATTGATTTTTTCTCAAAAATTCTATTAAATTAGTTTTTTTTTACTAAAAATTATTAAAATTTTGTTAAAAATAATTATATTTGTATTTAATTTTTATTCCATACTTTTACATCTTCTCTGTTTTGTATTTATTTAATTTTTTACGTTTTCTTTCATTACAGTTTTTTTGGTGATTTAAATAAATTCATAAATTTATTTAAAAAAACCTTCAACACTATTTTTTTTTACCAACGGTGAGTTTATTTTAAAATATTTTCTTAATTATTTAAACACATGATTTTTGTCATAATTTGTTATGTTAAATATTTAATTTATCAACAAAGTAAAAACTTGTTGTTATTATTAGTAAAAGTCCTTGAATTTCTCTGCACGCCTAATACAATGGCCTTAGTTGAGGTCATTTCATAGTTCACTCAAAAATATAAATAAAACCGAAAAAAAAAAAACAAAAACCAAAAGCCCTTCAAAATATTAAAAAAAGAGCATTGAACTCTCGAAATGAAATAAAATTTAAAAATATTTGTTTAATAAATTATGTTTAAATAAATTTATTTCAAGTTGCTTTTTGAAAATTATGAAATACGGGTATTAAGAGAACGAAATTCTCTCAATTTTTGCAAATTTAATTAAAAGTTGCTAGAATCCTAGAAAAGAACTTTTTTAGTTTTCTAAGTAGGTTTATTTGGTATTATATAGAAATATATCTGTAGAAGAATTTATAAACAAATTAACATAATTTAAATGTATAACAAATTATTAGGTAGTCAGCATTTTAGAAAAAGTAACAAGTGTTTTGGTTCTGTAGGCAAATGTCGATTTACAGTGTGTTTTGTTAGGTTAAAATGTTGAAATTTTTCCTAATCAAAATTAAAAATGTTTCTTTCACTTAAATATTTGTTTAGTTGGTATAATTTTTTTATGATTTTTGTGTGTGTGTGTGTCAAGTGCGTGATAAAATTGTGTAACCTACACAGTCGTTCCGTCCGTCCGTCCATCCATCCGTCTGTCTGTCCCTTATCATTACAAATTGATATCAATTGTATGTGTTTTTGGGCTTTACTGCCCCTTATCATTTGAAGGTCTAGATTTTCTCCAAAATAGTTTTTGTTTTTTAGTTTTTCTATCTTTTATTTGTCATTAAGCTGTCACTTTTTGCTGTTAACCCATTACCAAACACCACTATTTGTTTATAAGAACAAAATTATTACATTTTTTTAGTTTTAAACAATTATTTCGAAATTGTTTATAACAAATTTGTTGAATTAACTTTTCAAAATTATCAACTTGTTTAACAAAAGTTTGGAATTTAACTTAAGAATTATTGTATTCATTTTTCCATTCCATTGACATTTCTTATCAAAAAAAAAAACTATTTTAGTTTTAGAACAAAACTTTTGCTTTTAAAATTTTTATATTCTCCAAAATATTTTTATAGTTTTTATACACAAATTTAAGCTTTTTTTTAGTTTTTCTGACAGCTGTCACTTTTTGCTGTTAACCCATTACTAAGCTCTACTAATAAAAACTTTTTCTAAATTTTAAATAAATTTAAAAATTGTTTATAACAACAATTTGTCCAAGAAATTCTCAACAATTGAATTGGTTTCTAAACAAACGTTTCCGTTTCACTTTATTTGCCTCAAAAAATACTCTAAAAGTTTTCTTGATATTTTGACATTGAGCTGTCACTTTTTGCTGTTAACCCATTACAAACCCTACACTATATGTTTATAAAAAAATAATGAACTATTTATTTATTTCTTAATTTAGAAATTGTTTATAAACAATTTTACTTTAAATTACTAGTCATAAACAATTTGTTAATAAAGTTCCCGATTTATATTCTCTACAAAATGGTTTCCATCCAACAGGCACGGGAAACTTAAATTTAGAAATAGTAGGAACTAATAATAATATGGACTAGATTATAGATTAGACTATAGACTAGATTATAGACTAGACCATAGACTAGACTATAGACTAGACTATAGACTAGACTATAGACTAGACTATGGACTAGACTATAGACTAGACTATAGACTAGACTATAGACTAGACTAGCCTATAGACTAGACTATATACTAGACTATAGACTAGACCATAGACTAGACTATAGACTAGACTATAGACTAGACTATAGACTAGACTATAGACTAGACTATAGACTAGACTATAGACTAGACTATAGACTAGACTATAGACTAGACTATAGACTAGACTATAGACTAGACTATAGATTAGACTATAGACTAGACTATAAACTAGACTATAGACTTTAGACTAAACAATAGACTAGACTATATTCTAGTCTACTAAAGAGCTAAATTTTCCATGCCTGGTTGTTAAACTAAAGTTTCTACTCACTTTCGGTTCATTTTCATGATACTGGGAGCTACTTTTAAAAATGTTTGTATAAAAAACTTTAATAATAAAACAAATTCTGTCAACCTATTACCAAAGGTCTAGCAATTGTTTATAAACAAATTTAGAAATATAAACAAATTAACAAACTCTTCAAAATTATTTAAAAAAACTAATTCTATTAAAATTATCTTAAGTTTTAAAAATTTCATTCATTTGACAATTTTTCCTAAACTTTTAACAAAAACTTTCAAAATGTTTCAAAAGTTTTCTTTCAAAATATTCTGTTCTCCCATTAATAACAACCAAAATTTGTTGACAGAAACCCTCGTAAGTTAAATAAAATTTAATCAAATTAAATATTTACAAAAAAATAT